TAACATTTAGTTTTGTTACCTGTTTAGTGAAGCAGAAGCATGATATTTTAAGCTAACATGTTCTTATGAGGACCAATAAAGCTATAACCATAAAAATGAGAGAGTTATGATTAATTAAATACTTCATTACTCAAAGTATTAATATTATGGTGCAGTTGCTGTCAGACAATTTTCTTGTTTCTTGCACTAATAGTGCTCCACAGAAACAGAAGTATATAGGACATTTATGGAACTCATATACCTAAAAACCAAATTAGGAGAGAAAAACTATACCTGTCTCTCTCCCAAAGATAGGTTTTGGCAGTGATTGGTATGAAAATTCAGAAATATAAATTCAGCTCCCGACTCTGCCATGGCTTCTCAGACTATATGGGACATAACTGCAAAGTCTTCAGACACCTAAAGTAAAGCACCTTTTATCACTTCTGATACCCAAGGCTACCCTTGCCTGACCCCAACTTGGCTCCACAAGGACACAGGTGTTCCTGCATAGCTGATGCCGTCATGAGGATGTCCTTCATGCCTCAGGGTATGTCCAGTGGCACTAGGCATCTGAATTGAACCTGCAATTTCTCTGTGGTCCCTTCTATGTTAAAATAAGAGTTTGTTTTCTCCTGACAGGTTTTTCACCTGTTCTACTGAAAAGTTTAGAGCAGAGTCCATATCCTTTTGATTGAGCAATCTGAAGAACATCGTCACAGAATAATTGTCACAGAATTCACTAGGCATTTTTTATACTATTAAATAGAGAAATTCTATTACTGTATTTGTTATTGACAAATGCAGTTTATTCTCCTGAGGAAAAACAGACAAACAACAAAAAAAGAAACCAACAGTTCAAACACGTGTTTACTGAGTGAAACTAGAGCTAACAAAAATGGAAATTACTGTATTAGGTAACAGAGAAGCCAGAGTCTAACTGATATAAAACTAGTGTGATTTAGGGCTTTATTTTGACAACATTAAGTAGAGAATTAATGATTCAATGCCTGTGTCCTTGTGCTTAACTGCTTCATCCTAGCTCTGAGGCACATCCAGGGGCAGCAACAGATAAATTCAAAAGGATGAGTAGATATTAGATATGAAACTAACCACTGTAGCCACTATAGGTATTAATGACATTGTATAGTCTGAATTAAATTAATATAGCTTTACTTAACTAATTTTAATTTTTTCTAATTTTTCTTTTAAAAGTCCTGCAGATTTCTGTCCTGGTTACCCAGACATTTGTGTAGGTGTATGAAAAGTCAAGACTTTATGTAGATGCACAGAGACCATAATTTCATTAGCTTTTGAGATAGCATAAAATGTGATTTAGGTTTGCAAAAGCATTTTAATTTAATCTTTCTGTTGAAATGAGCAGTAAAGGAACTGCTAATGCACAAACATTTAGGGTGATTAATAGACATTAATTTGTAAATCCAAAAGGGCTTTTTTGGTTGAACCTTGTATAGTAGGCTATAAATAGCCATTACACTACATCCATGCTTCCACTAAGTTGAAATCTTGTAGTGTGTGCTGCAAAAGCCTGTCTCTGAGCAGGCCATGCTCTGAAAGCTCATGTACAGTCCATAGCAACATCACTTTAAAGTTTGTTCCAATAGTCATCACCCTTGTTTGAAATTCTGGTTTCTTTCTTAAGTGATTTTATCAGTATAAGCTTTTCTCCCTTGCTTTGTCTTTCTCTGGTAGTTTGAGAATCCCCATTCTAATAGCCTTTGAATTCTTTAGAACTTTTTAGTACTCTTCCAAGTTTTGGAAAATCTCTTCAAACATCAATGTCACAGAGTTGCAGGACTTTAATATTCATCTCATCAATGCTCTAACTCTGTTCCTAATCACTTTTCTGCTGCTATATGTGGATGAGGATGGCTCAGCCCTTTTCACTGCAGGTTTCACTTGAAGGTGTTGCTGAACTATTGTTGTGACTGTTGTGCTGCTGAAACTGGAGGCACAGTTCACCTTTATTAGTCTTAGACAATACTAACTGGCCTCCTTTGAAAATATAATAGACAAGCATTATTTTGCTTCACATTTATATTAGATTTCTCTAACTGCAGTTGTCACAGTTTTTCCAGCCTTATGCCATTCTCCTTGTATTCAGTAAAAACTAAAAACTAAAAATCAGTGTTCCAGTAATGTTTTTCCCAAATCATTTAGCATATATTTGCAGGGTAGTGAAGCCTGACTGCTTGGAAATATTTCTCCTAGATAAATGTTTATTATTCTCTTCTGCTAATAATATAATGGAAAGTCCTGCAATTAAAAAAAAAAAAAATCCTGTTTCTGTTTAAATACAGAGATAAATATTTGTTTCAGTTATTGTAGTGTTCTATATCAGGGATCCTGCATTGTGCTGCAATTTTTCATATTCCTAGCCTGAGGTGCCAAATTTTGCTTGGGATTGGCCTTAGTTTGCCCTTCAGGAACATCATCTGATTATAAAAAGTCTAGAAATAAAAACTACCTTCCTCTGTAATGATTACTTCACCTTTTTCATAAAGCTGGTGTTCCCATGTCATTGTGCCTTTTGTATTACAAAATCATCATGCAGGTTTTTCAGGAACTCTGACAACAGCTGCATGAGTTGTCCTAAACGGATTTCCCACAACCACACAATTTTGTTTCTAATCATGTTAAGAAATAATCCCAGAATCAGTTTGGTTCAGGATGACTTGGGCTATAATGGACCCCTGCTAGGAATCTGTCACAGTTTGCTTTGTTGCTGTATTCATATTTCACATTTAAGTCTTGTGGTAATTGGAGTTTTAATTCTAAACAAAATGACAATATCTTTAACATCATCTTTTCCTCTCCTTTGCCTGTCCCACAACAAAGTCTTTATCCTTCACTGGAGATCAATGTTTAAAACTTTGCTACATATTTAGAAGTTCATTAACGCAGATTTTTATGAATGGAGATCTCAAGTCTCAGAGCCATTGCATTGCAATGCAATTTGTTTATGATTTTAACTGTTTTTTGTTAAATCTGAAATGATGACAGACCAACACTTTCCAGTAAATCTTCTCAATATCAACAGTTGAGGTAAAGAAAAATCTCCAAGTGAAGAAATTTAGCCCAAAATTAAATGCTTAACGTGATAAAATACTGATTTAACTCTTCACACTACCTTTGCTCTATGATTTGCAAGGAGGATATACAGAACTAAACCATGTAAAACAGTTTTTCTCAGGCTACCACACACACATGAGATAGCAAGGAGTTAACAAGCACTGGGCTAAGCACTTGTATACTCAATACCTCAAGGCACCCAAAAAGCTGCAGCTGCCCAATCTGGTGTCAGCTAGGAATAAATGTTATTTTTGTAAAATGGATTACTTGAGACAAAAGAATCCTTCCTGATTTGAGGATTTCTATGGCATAAAGCAGGAGGGGCATGGTGATTGCAGACAAATCCAAGTCAAATTTTATGTTGTAAACTCTTAACTGTTCATTGCAAATTTAGAGATTATTCATTATCTTTTTCTTTGACTCAGGTAAAGGCTTTAAGGACGTGATCAGTCTCTGTATTCAGTAATACATCATGACAACACAAGAAAAAAACAACAAAATCATTTTCTCATTGAAATCACCATAAATTTTGTACTATTCCTGCTAAAATGAGTAAAGTATCTGCATCTTCACAAATAATTTTCCAACAGTGACATCCAGTTGTATATTTTGCTCTTAATTGGTAGAGCTATTCTCAATTATAATCTATATGTTACTAATTAGAAAAATAAGACAGATAAAAATGCTCTGGCAGAAGCTTAATTACATTAAGTTACTGCAGACAATTACATGAGATCTATCTGGAAGGAGCATATTAGTATATGCTTGTTTTCTATCTCTTGTATTTTTATTTGTCCTATAATTGACCTTGTTTCCCAGTCCAAAACTGGGCTCAAGCTTCAAAAGTAGTATCAAGCTTCTATGGTTGCTAGTTATCAAGTTTTAGAAGTGGGTAGTAAAACTGTCATAATAAGACTATGTCATTGTTACAGATCATTTCAAGTTGTATAGATGGCATGTAAAAAAATAAAAAAGCAAAGACCAATACAGAGTCTGAGATACAAAAATTATTTTGAATATTTAGATGCTGTAAATGATAGCTCCAAGACTTTGGAGCTACTGGTATTTTTCTAATTTAAAGTATTTTCTAATTAAAAGTATTTGGCCATCGTTAGACTTTGAAGGAACTCCACTTAGAGAAAACTATAAGGTTTGTCTCTCCTCTGGTCTTCTATCAGTGCTGCCTCCCAGTTTACTGGTTGTGCTGCTGGCTCATGAAAAGTCTACAAATCAGAAAAACAAAATTGCTGGTTTGCTTCCCTGCATTCTGCAGCTCCATGCTTTGTCAGATACACCTACTACTTGTTCCCTTCTTCCCAGCTCGTGCTCACAAATTATCTCAGTCTCTTCATTTCTGCTCCCTTGCCCTACATAGCAAGTAGGGTAGGAAAAAAGTCACGGGTATGTATTCATCTCTGCTGCAGAAATATAACTCAAAGCTGTAAAATGAAATTCTGGCTGGGAGAAATTTCTTGCTTCTCTTTTTCGTTCTCCATTCCTATGTGCTTGTCTGCATTTGTTGTCACCTTTCCCTTTTTCCTGGCCAGGTTTTCTACTCAGTTTACTCTTACAAATATTTTCCTTTTTTTCTCAAATTTTGTACAAATAAGTCTCAAAATTTTTTATTTTATCTTTTTCTCCCTGTCTTTAAAGCATAAATTATAGCTTCCAGGGTCTATCTTTGACCTATGTTCTAGAGTTTCTTTGACCTTTCCCTCACTTGCTTTCTGCACATCACTAGGGCACCCTGTTCAACATAGGAATGAGAGCTGAAGAAGGCCACCGTGCTGGGAAGCTGTGCTGTCCGTCCGTCTGTCTGTCCCACTGCACACACTCCACACCACACAGGTCTGAAGGTGATCTGAGCTGTGACTGCAGTGACCGACTTCCGCTTGTCTTGGTCATAACCAACCCTGGTGTCATTACAGGCCATGGTATCTGCTCATGTGGCCGATGCATTTGCCAGGATGGGTGGTTTGGAAACCTGTGCCAGCACTCCAGGAAGTGCAACATGACGGAGCAGGAGAGCAGAAGTCTCTGCGAGTCAGCGGATGGCATATTATGCTCGGGGAAGGGTAAGAACTGCCAGCTGAGCTACCTCATGTCAGTACCCTGCCAGAGGAAAACGATCATGTTCTGGAAGACTAATGTGCATGAAAGTGGGTTGTTGTTTAATAACCCTTTCTTTTCAAAGGCACCCATTATTAAAAGGATGTTATATTTGGCTCCATAATGCACTTACATCCATTTGGTCAAACACCCACCACAGCCGTACACGTCCAGCAGTGCTGCTCTCCTATGCAATTTTGTTGGTAGCATATAATTTTCTGTATCTGTTTAGCTGATGGTCTGTGTGAAATAGCTGTACACTATAAGCTAACTGTTAGTGCTCCACCCAGTTTGAGGGAAAGGGGCACTACCTGCAGTAACACTGCAGTGGGGGAAGATGGCAGATGTAAAATACTGGGCAACAGTAAGTGGAGGAGAGTGTTTAACAGCAGCATTTTGTATACTTAATCACTCTGCTCCCCAGCACAGCAGCAAAGGACAAGTATGTGTCTGCAGCCCCCCACAAATGAATCCTGAAAACTTTCTCATTTACTAATTTTCATTCAGGTGGTTGCATCAGCTTCAATTCGGCTATAAAAAAAATGCCACAGGGAAGAATAAAAGTTGGAAAATCCTGATAATTATCTGAAATTGTTCTCTAAGGTTCTTACCTTGCAGTCTTTCAGGCTAGGAAATTGCATTAATGGAAAGAGGGCTTTTTAGCTCCCCCATAGTGCAAATTGCTTATTTTTGTATATAATATGTCTGAAAGAGAATTGACAAAAAATGGGTGGTAGGACTGACTGGAGGCTAGAATGCACTCACTCCAGATTTTATGTGCCATTTCCTCTATTTGTATGTCCCTTGCATAGACAGGGGACCAGTTGGAAAAAAAACAGTTAGGAGCTTTCTACATCAGGCAGGTTTCCAGTTTTCCCTTTGGTAACTTTTATTTCAGTGCAGAGGAAATTTAAATAGGGTTTCCAGACTGGCCTTCATCCATCTGCATTATCACTTAGAATTCTCCCCTGAAGCGCTGTTTCATTTTATTTTGGAGTTTTTCTGTCCCCAGCTGATGCAGTGTCATAGAAAATAAGGAATTTGCATTGCTTCTTTATTTTTTCCAGGTGTGTCTGTCTTTAAATTAGCCTATGTGTAAGAGAATGGTGAGTTACCAGAGAAAAGGAATGACTCCGTTTTACTGTAGAAGTTAACTTTTCTTCTCTCAGTCTTGGTCTCTCTGTGATTTTTTTTTTTTTATATAAACCATGAAGGTGAGGGAATATGCTTAATATCAACAAAATGTACTATGTAAGATTCTAAATAAATATAAACATGAAAAACTCTGTTGGTTTTTAAAATATTTGTATTGTCTACTATCTTTTTGTAAGGATAGCTATTTATTCTAGCCTGTGAGTCTTACTCTGAGATCAATTAGCTTTGAGCACTTATATCAAAAATACAATTTATCCTGAGGCTTTGAGAGCAGATAACCTGGCAGAAATTTGCAGAGACATCCAGGATTTTTTTTTCGCACTGCTGGCTGTGCTGCCCAGAGGGTGATTTGGTATCTGGTCACTTATGTAATCTGGAGCAGCCTGAAAGTTGCACTAGGTTGCAACCAGCAGTAGGCAGGTAGTGCTTTTAAACATGACTGCTTGAATGAAGGCTCCAAAGGCCCAGATTTTCTAGGGTAGTAGCTCTCTGTTGAACAGCATTTACTTTCTGTGGGAATCACAAACTTGACAAATGGAGCCAGGCTCTTCTCTGTGGTTCCAAGCAGTAAAACGAGACGCAAGGGGCAGAAACTGATGTGCAGGAAGTTTGTGAACACGAGGAAGAACTTCTTTACTGTGTGGGTGACCCAGAGATTGCCCAGAGCAGTTGTGGAGTCTTTCTTACTGGAGACACTCAAGAACCTTCTGGATGCAATACTGCTCAATGTGCTCTAGAGAGGCCCTGCTTCATCAGAGAGGTTGGATCAGATGACCCCAAAACAATCCCTTCCAACCTTACCCATTTTGTGACCCTAACTCTGTATTCAGCAACAGTGGTAGGATTTTTCTTTTTCTTTTTAGTTTCTTTGGCCCCCAAGCACATATAAGCCTTCCGTGTGATGGAAGTTTGCCCTGGGGATAGTCAATATAAAAAAGCTGTGTCAAATTAGGTGCTATAACAACTTCATTGTAGAAACAGCTGGTCATTTGTAAGTGTTTGTTGCAGCAGAGAAATACCTGCATAAGATAACTTCAGCTGTGTGTGGTCAGTAAACATCCAAGCACGCTGCTGTCTCCTACCTCTTCTCTGAGCAGGATGGGGATCACAGGCAAAGACAGTGTAATTATTTATAATCTTTTTTCTTTTTTTCCCTTCCCCCCCCCCCCTCCGCAGGCAAATCAATTTTTGATGCTAAGATATGCATCTGGAAATCATGTTTTACTGGGTACTCATACTTTAAAACACTGTTCATAGCTAGTGAAGCATTACCCTAATGGCAAATTTTTCTTTCTTATTCATTGCAACGAGAAAAAAATAATGATTACTTGTCAGATAAAAGTGAATTTTTCTGGAAACGTAGCCAGGATATGCAAGTGCTAAAATGGACTTAGAGGAGCTTGAGCTTCTTATGTAGGACTGTGAGGAGTTTTCAGCAGATAACTGCTGAACACTATCAGAAATTGCACTCTGCTAATATAAGCAAAGTTGGACATTCACATTCCTAGGCTGTTTTTAGAATCTTGGCTCTCTGACTGTGCCACCTGTAGTAAAAGCTCTTCCAAAGGAAAACAGCAACACCCACCATGCTGCTGTCTCCCTGGCATTAAATATAGGGCTGCATATGGCGACTGTAACGGTGCAGGATGTGGGCAAGGTAATGAGCCAAATCCCATCCAAGAGGATCTGGCTGGGATCCCAGGAAACACCCTACAACTCATTAGATTCATTTTAATTAAACTAAGGAGCCTCCCAGAGCAGCACGCTCTGTTCAGGGAAAAGGCTTGATTCATTTCCCTAATAGATTTTGTATTATGGAGCCTGATCTTCCTTGGTTGACTTGGTGTTAAATTTCCTGTGTCTTCTGCAAAATAGTTTTAAACATTGTGGGCATTCCTCAGTAGCAGCATCAGTGTTTTTTATGCAGAATCACTTCAAGTTTCTTACAATGTAATACTCGTATTACCTACTTTAATTTCACTAAAATTATCATACTATTCCTCATTATTTTCTGCTGTCTGTGCCTTGCAGTTTGTATAAACAGAGAGATTTGGTTTAAATTATTCTCAAGTCTTAGCGTACCTCTTACACAGCAACCATGCAATACGTATGCTATTCTCCACTGCCTTTTTATACAGTGGCATTTTTTATCATTGTAGGGTATGTCAATATTTTCTATGCTGCTGGCTCAGTAAGCAAAACTCAGAACTCACAGAAAAAGTAGATGCTTAATCAAATATTCCCATCCCCAAATGTTCCAGTCATTAGCTCTTCCTGAATATATTTGCATGTTCCATATGTTACAAGTTAAAACATTTCCCTAAAATCAGGCAATGAGTTAATTTTTGTGAATTCAAAATAAACATTAAATTGCTTACATATTTGATTAAAAATTAGCTAGTCTGCTGAGGCTGTTACAAAGTTTTCAAAAATTAAGTTTCAGTGATCACAGACACTTCAGTATTTACAGGAAAAAGCTATGGAAAATTGGTCGATATCAGCAGATGGACTTTTTTTTTTTTTTAAGTGTAATAGGATCATGAATATGGATTTTTTTCAGAGGTCTCTGAAAGAACTGGAAAGATGGAAAAGCATAATTTTATAGGCTTTAGCTAAGGCCCTGTTAAGTAACCCATGAATTCTATTTAGGTTATATTCTGACATAACCAAGTTTCCTTCTATATATTTTTCCCTTAATATTGCTTTAAACACATTAGGGACTCTTACGGGAATCATTCTGGAAATATTGCAGGAGCCTAAGATTTTCAACTGCATTCAACTAATTTTTAAGTATGTTGTGTTAAATGTCAACTGCTTATTTGATGACTTTTTTTATAACTCTGCCTCTGATAATTGAAAACTATGTGTGTATCCTTTGCTATAATTTATTTGGGGGGTTGATTTTTTTAATATTGGCTTCTGATGTAACCCTTTCTTAGGGCTCAGTTCACAAAAGGATTTTTGCTCAGCAGTTACTGAGAGCCCCACCTTAGCACTGTAGGTGTTTTACTGAAATCTGTATAGGGTCAGGCTGCTGAAGATGGGATCTGAAAAGCTGAGTCATTTTAGCCAAGTGCTGGAATTATCCAGAAGGAATTACCATCTTCTAGTGGCATTTCTAGTTGCAGAAAAGCCTGTCTCACCCCATTCTCAGGCTGCAGTCTTCCTGACACAGGATTGTCTGAGGGCAATAGTAACTTTCCAGGATTCAGAGCCATGAACCTTCTCCTGATGGTAAGGATGTCTCTGAGTCTTCCCTTGAATGGAGATTTCTGGTGCTCCATGGGTTATGGCATCACCTGAACATCACCACAGAGTCCCTCCTTTCCCTGTGGGGGTGTGACCTGACATCCTGGAGAAGGAGGAGTGCAGCTTGTCCCAGGAAGGGTCATTAGTGTACACTGCAGGAATGAGCCAAGTGCTGAAATGCCATTATGTGCTCAAACTCTTTCTGACCGAGAGCAAATAATTAATTATTAATTCCATGGCAGGTGGAGAAGCTTTGTTTGTGGTGATGAGGATTTTGAGGGTCTAAATTTTAGTCTTATGCATTGCTGGTCATTTTTGGACTCACCCCTAAATTTAGATGAGGAGGACTATTTTCTTCATGGGTGTGATTTTATTGCCTTCAGTAACAGTGGGTCAGGGACAATTTGAGCTGTTCTAGTCAAAGAAAACAAAACAAACAGTTTCTGGGAAGAGAAGCCCTGATTGTAGGTCTCTGAAACCAAAAGAAGGCTTCAAAATGTGAGCCTTGATTAAGTGAAATAGCAGGATCAAAGCATTAGTAGTAACATCCCACCATACTCTAGCTCATGCCAAAGAATCCTTTTATTCAAAAGACTTTTAGCTTGATTATTTTCTTTTCTGTAATAGCCTCTTAGACAGCAATTTTGTGCATATGCGCACGTGCATGTGTGCACGTGTGTGTCTCGGGTTGTTGTTTTCTAGTCTGAAACTGACAGTGATCTTTGACTGCGAGTAATAATTTTTGTGATTTCAGGTTCCTGCCACTGTGGAAAGTGCATCTGTTCTCCCCAGGAATGGTACATTTCAGGCGATTTCTGTGAATGCGATGACAGAGACTGTGACAAACATGATGGTCTCATTTGCACAGGTGCAGTACAGGCTAACACTTAATTGCTTCAGGAAACAAACTGTGTTGATGGGAATTATGTTAGACAAAGCCTAGCTGTTTCTTTCCCCACTGACAGAGGAAGTGCATTTGCTGGTTATTCAAATCTGCTATAATTGTTTCTTCATGCAGGGTGATAATCAACTTAAGGTTTCAAAACAACAGTTGAAAGCCTGAGCATGAATTTAAATAAGTAAGCCAGCTATGAAATCCATCAACAATTCTCATTGTAATAGAGGACAAGTTACTGCTTTTTGGCAAAGGACATAGTGTCAGCATTGAGATCAAGACGTTTCCTTAGCCTTTGTTCTTTTACTGGACATTCTATGTGTGTAAATTTAAGTCACAGACAAATTCACTTGTCTGATGATCCTTGGTGGCTCAGAGGAGTAATTGTGTGGGTTAACAGACCTTCCTGGCAATCAGACAATTGTTGGTGGGAGCCTCAAATATACGATAGCTTTTCTTATGACGTGATGGCTGACGATTAAATTAATGATTATAGCAGCTTCACCTTAACATTGTCATAAAGTTGAGATGGCAGGTGTGGATAGAAATGGGCAGGGTGTCAACAAGCCCTCACGATAAACATAGTGACAAGAAGCAGCATGGGAATTGCTAAATCTGCTCATTGGCTTCTGCCTGTTACAAATTTTAATTTTAGAAAATTTTTGCTAGCAATTATTAGACGTGGCAGAAATCTGCAAGTCGATTAGAGTGGAAGTGGGAGGACTGACACTAGTATACTGTGCCTTCCAGCTAGCCCTATTAGCAAGTGTCCTTTTCTGGAGGCAACTAGCCAGTATAGTGGCAGCAGAAGCCTTATCTTCAGCTGTAATGGCTGTTCATGGATCTTCATAAAGCTGGTAGGAAGAGGAGCTCACACTGGAAACTCATGCTAGAGCTGTCTCAAGCTGAGCACTCGAGTCATAAAAAATATTCAAATAAAATGAATATGGGGGTGTCAGTAATGTTATGTTTCCCTACTGTAAAATAGCGCCAACGCATTATAATTTATTTGTACATCACTCTTGAGAAGGTAGGTGTAAAGTTTTTTAATGTTTAGAGTGATGGTTTTATTGCTATTCTGTTGGTAACTTTTAATTACTTTTTCTTTCTTCGTAGTAGTCAAAAGCAATCTTGTTTTTCCTTATATCTGGAGGCACAGTGCGAACACTGAACCTCACCAGTTGGGTACAAATACTCATGTGTACAACTGCACTACACACCACACAGTTACAGTATTTGCAGTATGGCTGATGGAATTACTGAGAGAATGCTATTAATGCTTTGTAAATGTAGGTTTGGGGTGGTTTCTTAATGCAATGGTACAGTAATTGCTTCCTTCCAAAAGGGGGGGGGGGAAAAGCAGTAGGGGAACAATAAAGGAACAATGCAACTACTTTACCATGGCTTTTAACTCCCCATAAAACACATTTTAATGTAGTACATTTCAATTATGATAATTGCCCTTTATTCATTCTATTCTAGGCAACGGTGTTTGTAGCTGTGGAAACTGTGAGTGCTGGGAAGGATGGACTGGAAATGCTTGTGAAATCTGGCTGGGAAGAGAATACCCTTAATGAAGGATCTCAAAAGACTGAGGAGGGTTTCTTGTTTGTTTTTCTTTAGGCTGCTAGAACATTTAATTTCAGAAGTGCTCAGTGTGTGGGTGTGGGTGTGCACGTAAGCACATGTACATGGCTGTAAGTACATTAGAACACATTTGAGGACCTGCTCCTAAAAGAAATGTATCAAAAAACCCTAAAAAAGGGAGCAGGAAAATCCCAGCTCTAGAAGGTGAAGTCATAAAATACTGGCCCTGTGGGACTTCTCCAGAGGTTTTTTTGTAAATTCAGTGGAACTGAGATTATACCTATAATGCCTGTTTCTTTAAGCAACCCTTGGAAAAGGTATAAGAAAGCCTTTTTTAATATTATTTACTTGGTCATCATCTCCCCTTATCAATCTGCAACAACACCCCTGTAGAGGAGTAACACTAGCTGAATATTTGTCAAATAACTAGTTTGATTAATTTTATGGTGTTGGAAAAATATATGATTTGACCTATATTTCTTTCTAACAATCCTAATCATGCACCAGCTCATAAATTGAAAGAAACTGTAAAGAAGTCTATAAAAATATTAGTGATTTTTTTTTGTCAAATAATTATCTGAGATCCAATTACATGACAGCCATAAACTGAAGACCCAAAATGTTTGAATAGACCCTTTTCCACAAAAGAACTTCTTAGTTTCTGTGGTTAATGTGTCAGTAAGCTGGTTATCTAATCTACATACTACAATACTTTCAAATACATAACCTATAGGAAAATAAGGAATGAAATTAATAAAGATATAAATGTATGATTGCCTATTCTGAATATGTATTCTGCAACTCATATGTACTCCTATCACACTGTTCAATGTAGGTACAGTTGCCTTTTAAAAGTAAAGTAAATGAAAATTTGTTATATTGAAAATGAAAATATGTCACTTTGAGAATGAAAATTCTGTCTACTATTCGAAATCAGATTACGCTGTCACACATGGTATTTATTGAATTTAACTGCTTTTATAGAAGTGGGAAACTTGAAGGTCAACTGACTTGAAAAATCATCTATGCTATGCAGCAGCTTGGTCTCAGCCAAAGATGTTTGGACAATGTCAACAAAGTAATTAAAGTTTTAATACAGTAAATACAAACAAAGCAGTGGTATGAACAAAAATTTTATTTTTATTTTCCAATGGTGAAATGCTGCTCAGTGTGAAATTCACGTTGAGTAATGAATGATGCACAACTATTGGGACTTCCCTAACTTATTTACATATGAGTCTCTTAATTTTTTGTACATGTAGATTTGGCAGCCCTTGAATTCTTTAGAGCAAAAAGAAGAAATATACATTTTAGTTTGAAAACTGTTTACATTTTGTGAAATCATGATTGAGTGAGAAAACTGATTAAATGGCTGAAAAATACTTTTAGATACCAAACTGTAACACTGGGGTTTAGGTGCCAAGGTCCTAAAAAGAGGTACATGATTCAGAAATAATGGAACTACGTATCAACCAAATTTCCATTATTAGTCTAGAAATTAGTTTTCTTTTAGAAAGGACAGTTTTGAAACAGGAAAATACAATGCTACAGAACATGTAATAGAATGCAAAATTTCAAATTTATTTAATTGCCTTATTATTGCCCCTTCCAAAGTAGCTTGTTCTCTCACCAAATTTTTTTTTTTAGTTAGCCTGTATTCTTTCTTTCTGAAAATGAAGCCTGTGAAACCCATGTACTCAGGGAGCATAATCACCAAACATCCAATATATATATGTTATGCAGATAAATTATGAGACATACATCCCAAAGCTGTTAGCTGCTCTCTTATTAGATAATCAAAAGATCAGGTAGAGTTCTGAAATATATTGATACAGTATAAAGCCTCTTCAAAGTAAAACTCATCTTGAAATTTATTTTATATACTTGTAACTCCTAAACTCCATGGAACTGAACAGAAATATTTTCTTAAGTTTTAGCATATATGCATTTTGCCAGCCCTGGTGTCTGGAGAGCAGATTGTTGCCTTTATTTATATCTACGAATACTGCTGACCTGAATCAGCTTATAATCAGTGGGGTTTTTTGCATATACGTTTGTCTGCTGGAAACAGTGAGGGATACAAAGTTTTCTTTTATTTTCTTCCATTTGTATTCAGTACTGTGAGAAGAAAATATTAGGTAATGAAAACCCTTATCTGGTGTCAGTAGATGATTTTGACTTGTTTCATGGCATCATAAGCAGATTTATATATACTGTAGACCAGCTGTGGTATTTCAGGTGCTCATTCATATTTAAAAGAACAATTCTTTAGATGGTTGCAGTGTCGTATTTGATGCATTTTACTTTATAATTTGCTTTAATTTTAAATTTATATACTTAAAGAGTGTAAGGTAATTCTTATTTCTAGTTTGTTTTTAAAAAAAAACAAACAACCAATCAACTCCTACATTTTGACTACTGGACAGATTATTTCAAAAAGTGTTGTCCAAGTTGTTTTTTAAAATTACATATGGACAAAAAAGAATATCTACAACAGTTACCCTCAGTGTTTCATTAAAATGCAATTATCAAACAAAATGGTGCAATTAATATAAAGTATTAACTAAGACTACTAAAAATGTAATGTACACATTATTTTTTCCAATTTTTATTCTGTGTCTTATAATGTTGCTTGAACATTTCCCCTGCTTTTCATGCTGAGGTAACTGGTGGTGTAACACCCAGCAGGTCTGTTTTGTGGCTAATTTCCTCTCTAAAAAAATAAGATTGGAAGGAATAAGACTTTTATTCCACATATGTGAATATAATAGCTGAATAATTTCTTCTTCATCCCAATAAACAGAAGGATCAGCAAGACACACTTTTACTGCATGGACCAAACTGCCTGATTTCATACCTCATTGCTTAAACTAGTATTAAATCAAGACAAAAGGTTTCCCTACATATATATATAAAGCCAGAGTTCTTAATGTTGCTTCAGATATATGCCATAGTCAAAATGAACACCTTTATGGTGGGGAGGGAGAGTGGGGAGGGAGGGAGAGGTTTAGTAAGAATCAACATGACTGCACCAGTTAAAGTTTATGAAAATGACAGTATATTAAAAAGTCATTTGAGAATGGCTAAAAACCCCGGCAAGTTAAGTTAAGCAAAGGCTGTGTTATGTGAACCACAAAGCACTTAAAAGGAGCTAGAGCCCCTTCTATAGGCTCTATCATGTGAGAAATCTCATAAGGACTCTTGTGTATTTATAAAATTTTTGAAGTACAACGAAATGGTGCTTTGTTGAAGTAGTTCATATCTACTGAAAACTGGATTTCTAAAACTGTGCAGGTGTGACTGATTTTGCCAAATAGAACTGTAGCTGAAATACAGATTAAAAAAAAAAAAAAAAAGAAAAAAAGAGGTAAAGACTATGTGCAGTGTTAACATATAAAATGGTAAGATGAGGTTAGACTGCTGTGTAAACAGTCTCTCAGAGATTAGAGAAAACCCAGAAGAATAAAATACAAAGCAAGCATGCAAAAGATCTGGAAGGCTGCAGATTCACAGACAGCTGCACATGTAAGTACAAAACCCCCAGTCTATAAATACAAATTGATTCCATCAGGTTTACTATACAGTACTTTAGTAGTAACAGACAGTTGAAAACATCTTTCACTTAAAAGCAAAATTAATTTTAGAGGGAAGGAAATGGTGAAGTCTCATCCTGGAAAACAGCAAGAGAGGTATTATATTAAGGAGCTAAAATTTTCTTTGGCATGGTAAAGGGGGAGAACTGAGTTTGCCAACCTATTTACATGAAGTTTCACCATCCTGTGGGCAGTGCAATGATGTTTTGCACAGTCTACTTCTCACATAAACTTTTTTGTTGGTTTCGTATATGCCTTCATATAAATGCTTTATTCATCATTTTGAACCTGTGTATACATCAAATAAGAATAAACAAACTGTACAATGCAAACTCTTTGCATATATGTATGTAAATTTAGTAATACTGACCAACAGTTCTTTGACAGATACAACCTACAACATGCAGTTCATCCTTGCCATCCTCTTTCCATGCAACAGATGAGACAAGACAAAATAAAAGGGAAGAAAGAAAGCACAAACACAACTTTTTTATGTTTAAACAAAATGTAATAAAAAAAAAAAAAATTAGGACATCTATTCGTTGGATTAAACATACATAAGAATTTAGCCCACAGCAACAAAACCAGAAAACAATAATTTAAAAAAATGCTGTATTTCCAGTATGCACTAAGGACTTACAGAAATGAAATCTGGCCTTATTTATAGCCTCCCAAAGTAGTTCACAGATCATAGTTACTCAGGATCAAAAGGTTAGTGTTGAAAACAATACTTATATAGGATCAGGCCATGGACCAGAATCTCCTTCCTTGGCTCAGCCAGGTTTCTAGCCCTGTCTCTCCTCAGGCTTTTACATTGGGGGAGCAAAAAGACAGCTGGATGGGACATGAACTTGTGTATTCACTCCTCATGATTCAGGTGAGAGAGAATGTAGCCTTCAGCTGTATTGCCTTACTTGAAATATTGTGAAGTGCTCCTCTTATAATTGTAGGAAAGCCCCGGGCTGTCCCTGGGACCCAGCTGATGGTACAGCATCACGGCTCCTGCCTCTCATGAATCCTCCAGGTGCAGAGCAAGCCCCCAGCTCATCATGTGAATTGCTTTGGTTTTGGTTTTTTTTGTGTTTGTTTGTTTGTTTTTTTTTTTTTCTCAGGGATAGTGCACAAATCCCACTGGACCAGATGGGATGAGAAGGGCACACCAAAGTTTTTAATAAAGTGGTGTTTTCCCCATGCACACATATTTAGTGCTAGCAGATAAGGGCACAGTCTAAGTCAAAGTTTCTTTACATTTTTATCACAGTTTTAGATTAGGTTTGTATTTTTTTCCCCTACATGGATAGAGGGCTTCATGCTTAACTTATTCCCTCCCTAGAAAGACCCAACATCAAGCATTAGCTTGCTGTTCTCATAGCACATATACAAAACGAAGTCTGACTTACAGAAAAAATAAAAGTTTATCTAGAATTTAGCAGCTTTACAGTAGCCTCCTTGAAGAGTGCACTAAATGTTTCTTATAAAAACAGAACACATTTGAAAACTAGTATGAAGAGTTCATTCAGACTGAATCAGTTGTTCAGCTGAGCAGAGAGGGAGTTTGAAAGAACCATCAGCCTCTCTTAGGGACTTCAGCACAAAGATGGGATAAAACAAATTGACAGAAATACAGTGCTAAAAAGGGAACGGATGGTTTCCTCTTTTTGTCTTTAAATATCAAGGTAACAGCAAGAGGCCACACAGTTTTCCAGACTGAGATACAGTTTGATCTTTGCTGCCATTTCTGAGAAATAAATTCCATCTTAAGCATACAGAGAGTGCCCATATTTTAATCTTCTGAAAGCCTGTGACTAAGCATGCAAAAACTTCAGTGGCACCTCTGTGGCGTTCTCTAAATCTTCCCTTCCCCATGCCCACTTCACCCCACAACATTGGCTTAATTGTTCACAAGTGAGAAACTCAAAGGGTTAATGTTGTTTCTGGTAATATGATCCAAGGCTTCAATTTTATAATGTTTTTGATTTCTTCTAGATTGATGTAGGAAAAAGTACAGTATATAGAGATCAAGGCAAGGCACCTTCAATCTAGCGATTTTGTGGGCATGTTATCCTTGGAAGCTGGGTGGAGGTACATACCGGGATATCAGTGAATTACATAGGACCGGACTTTGCATGCTTAGCTAAAAATAAAAATAAACTTTTGGAATATGTCCAGTTTTAAAATTTATTTTTTTTTAAACACCAGAAATATTAAACTATAATTTGTAACTACCCTTTGCATTGGTGCTGCAAAAAAGAACACAACAACATCCTTGCCCATGCTTTGCTAAGTAGGTGTGGAATTCAGCCAAAAATAACAATGGCATTAAGTTCAGTTCCTTAAAAACAGGAAAGGATTATATTTGAAATGGATTTAGGTAGCACGATTCTGATTAGTCTTACTTATTTTTTTTTATTGGTGGTGGTTGTTTTTCAAACAATGAAGATTTAGTAGATGAAAAATGAGCCTTAATTCAGGCCTACAAGGCCTACAAAATTCTTTGGACCCACTTTCCCAAAAGTGAGTGGGTCTTGCTCGCTGGGCAAGGCAAATGTTACCATTACCAGTAAGCCTGTGATATGTATAAAACACACACACAAAAAGAAACTATAGGGGGATGCCAAACACATGTTTCATAAAACTCCCCGTTGGTTGTGTTTGACACTCTTCCCTCCACTATAATGCCAACCTCAGAAGCACAGTATCTTTTACTAAAGAGTATTCACATTTAATCAATATTGTAAGCCAGAGACAACGATCCTATTCTTTATAGATATAATTTGTAATAATAGATTTTTGAAGGCTTCCTGATTCCCTGATTGCTTTCAAAACTAAGCCACCGGCAACACTTAAGTTATAGAGAAACACAATCCCTGCAAAAGGTCACAAACAGTGGAGCGAGCAGCCTTATAAAAAAGGGAAGAAGAGAAATTCATAATAGCACAGGTTTACAGCATCTAACTAGAAATTACTTGATTATTTGTGTGCTACAAAATAGAACTTAAACACATGGATTTTGCTGAAAGTGGACTCAAAAAGGGATTATGGGCAATTGTCAGCAGGCAAGGTATCAAGTGTACTTGTGAAGTATGTCATTCACATGAAGTGTCACAGTCACAGAAAAGATATTAAAAAGGCATTCCAATATCCGGTAGGGCATTCCATGGTCTGAGTTTAGCTGGTTCATCCAGGTGTCTTCTTGTTTTGGGTAGAGCTACATGTTGAGATTTATCCACTTGCAACAACTCAGTTCAGAAACAGCAACGGGCAAGTCGGTGACTTGCCGCAAGCTGATCCACAGACACAGCCGAGAGGAAGTCTGGCAAGGATAAATCACTCAACTGTACTCGGGATTCAGTAAGTCACAACACCTGTGAGGATCTGGCTATGTCGTCTTGCTCTTGTTAACTGGTTTGCCGCCATTCATTATTGCAGATGCACTTGTGCTTTTACTTGGAGTTACCCCAGCCTTTGGCACTGTTTCTCCGATATCATGCAAAGATGGTTCTCGATACATGGCAACTGAGGGGAGAGAAGAGAAAGGGAGAAGCACTTTTAAGAATGTATCGCATGCAAGGGTTCATCTCAAATAATTACCTACGATAACCGACATTGTAATATGTTTCTCTTGCATACCAGGGAAACTGTTTATTTTGACGGACACTTGTTTTGCATCATGGATAGATTTGCTTGACCCTCCAAAATTCTCACTTCTTCATCTCACTTAAAATACAGTGGGAAACTACGTGCTTGCTTGTTTGATGGATACTATAGAGTTTTTGAAATGAAAAGCTACTGGTCTGTCTTTGCATAAGGTAACACTCCAAAACATACACGTATATACGCATATGTAGATATATACACCCCTTAAACAAACATGCAAGCTTTTAGAAGTAAAATATGATGAAACAGATTATATTTAAAAAATGGGCTCATACAATACAATTGTCTAGACTTGTGTTCATTTTTAGTCATATTTGAGAGACTAGGCTAGGATCCAGTTCTACAATGTTATGTGTACATCAGTCTCTCAAATCTAAGAAGCTTGGCTATGATCTCTTCAGTTGTATCCTGAAGAAATATCTGGGAGATGTGGAGAGTATATAGGAGGCCTGAGGTTTTTTCTTCCTCCTTTCCAAAAATATATGTAGTAACCACTGATCTCCACTGAAGGTAGAAGCACAGAAAACTCCAGATTGAACTATTAACTGAATTCGTAGAGGAATTAAAGGTTTGCCCCCGGGCCCGGGCTTCAGTTCCTATCTTACCACTTCAAATCCTTTGAGAAAAATACATGTATTCAATTACACAGTTCCAGCATTAAGCTGCCTTAATGATTAATGCTCTTGGATAATTCAATTTCATTTTCCATGTCACTGAATCAGGTAATATTTCCACCTAACTTCAGTAGCATTTATTTATATCAGAGCAATGTTAAAAGAGATGTCAAAGCAGTCAAAGGAATTAATCATCACACTATGACTTTGGGACTGGCTGTGTGTTGCCATAGAGAGCACAATCCCTTCATCCCTTGGCTAATTAGAGTAGGAGGCTGGAGCATCAAAGTACTGACCTTGATCCTCAATGGTGTGAAGTTTCATAATAAATATAAAGGGCCTCATAGCATCATTAACTAATCAAATACTTGTTCTAACATTTCCAGTGACATAATCTACATCCTTTTAGGGCTTCTAGAAGACTGAAATTAAATGGCTTCTTTAGAGTACTGATTATGATCTATGTCTTCAGAGTGCCCCATAACTGTGTTTAGGGCACTTAGTTGATTAATTAAAAGAGCTTGATGAAATAATACCGTGACCTACAAAATTATTAAGTTGAACAACATGAGATGGAACTATAAAGTAAGGAATTATATAGAAGAGCTGTCATATTTGATGATTCTTATAGGTACTATAAATCAAGTTATTTCTATGTAGTTTCTAAGCTATTTTGATAGTCTGATAATCCAAATATTATTGAAAAAGAGTCACTTCTTTCCTAATCCATATTAGTTTGCATTTCTTTAAAAAATTCAATGGTTTTCCCTCTTCACATAATTTAATATAGAGGAACCAAGATATAAAGTATTAATATTGTTGAGAGCTTGTGGAACTACTGAAAGCTTCCACAAGACAAAGAAAGCAAGAAAGCATCAATCTGAGTTCAAATATGAAGTTAAAACTTAATTATTCTGATTCTTTCTTTATGATGAAACTGAAATATTTAACAAACTGATCCTCTAATCAAAAATTTACTCAGGCATGTGTTCAGATGTTAAGTAATGAGATAACTTTCAGAATGAATGAGGCTATGTGTAGCAATAAGAACAATAAAATTTGGAGTGCCATCAGGACAAGAAGTGAAAGACATCATAGACACCATAAAGGCTTGCAGAATGCATAGAATAAGACAAAAAGTTCCAAGATATAAATAGATGCATTTTTCAGAGAATGTGTGACACCATTTTAGTGTGCAAGGTTACTGTTATTTGCTTCTATCTTGGTTTAAAGGCCAACTTACAAAAGTTATGCACATTACACCAATTGGTAAAGTAACACAGCATGATTTATTTTATAAAGAGACCTTGTGTTTTGTATTAGAAAGCTTTTACTTTGAAATACTGACATTTCATCCATTCCCTATATAACTCCCGATTATCCTACATTATTTCCTTCTATTTTCTCAGTGCAAGACTCACAACAGCTTTTGTCCCTACCAACAGAATATTTTAAAAGCAGCACAATGCACTTTCACAAAAGATTTCTTTTCTTATAGAATGACCTCTTAATCTCCGGAAAAATGTTTTTTACATATGCCCTTTCTATCACCACTATGCTGAACCACAAAACTGCTTCATGAATCTCTAGGACTGTCATTAGTAATGGCCCCTGTGCAAGACACACACATTCTTAAAGGGCATTTTAGAAACCATTCCCTTTTCTTGTGAGATTTATAGCAGGGAGGGTCTACCAGCAATGGACTGAGACTCACCTTCCAATGGCTTGGGTAGAAAATGAGCTGCTGGTTTTGTTTTCTTCACTCTGTTTCCTTTCATGACCTGCCCTTCTTTGTTCAGCCCCAAGAACCAGGCCCTCCCGGACTCCTGTTGTCTGTAGAGCATGGATGAGTAGATTACATAATAATTTTCAAAAACGGACTCCTTGAATTTGCACTCTGGTGTAAAAAGTTCCTGTGGGAGGAAAGGTAAATGTTAAATGGTATCTCTAAAGTGGGGTTTTTGTTTTGTTAATTTACAAATACCTCCTGATAAGTTTAATATGCAACTTATAATAAGGTTCTGCTTTGAGAACAGGAGTTCTGTCTTCCTCTGGAAGACCTCCAGGTGAACTTCCCATGGATGCCTCAGTTTTCCCATCTGGGCAACAGCAACAGTACATTTTCAAAGTAGAAAGGAAGCTATACAGGCATAAAAACACTTTTTAAAATACAGGAAAAATTATTATTATGCTTATTTTTTTCAGATAGGATATCCTTATAAAGATTAAGAAAGTCTATGCTAAAGTAACCTTAAAGAGATATCAGTTGTTCTAACATAGTGAATGCAGCAAACTTCCAAACTAATATTTGAAGCTCAAAGTGCTGCTACTAATGTATTAAGGTATACATCATTCCCTGGAATTCACATGGCCTGAAACACCGCAGGAAAATACTCTTTTGATGCAAAAATTACTAGAAAAAGAAAAATAATTCCTACTGACATTCTCAGCATTCATTCCACTAGCAGAATATTTTTCGGAAGTCACATTCAGTAACAGCAGTTGTCCTAAAACTCTCTCTAGAAGTTAATCTAAACACAAACTTCTGCAGTCCAGTAGCAAAATAATAACTTAAATATAGATATATATTTTAATAACACATGGAACTCGCAAAATAAACAGTGTGAACATACACTGAGATAGAAGTTACCAAATTCTTTGTAAAAAACCAGCAAGTTAATAAGCAAATAAAAATACATTTAAAATATCACAAGAAAATAAGATTCTGTGTGATGTGATTTTCTGCCTGTGGACTCATCTGCTGAAACCTGTAGAAGAAATGAGACATAAGAGGAGGAGGTAGCTGCAGAAAAGAGAGAAAAGCTTAACTTACCTTGCTAAGCTTTCAGAACGCAACGTTCTCAGCCCTGAATACTCTTTTTATATTTCTTTTGGTTATCTTTCCCAAGCGGTAAAAAAATCTGGAAACATCATATCTTTTCACTTCTCCATTCACAGTGTTTTTTATTCATTTCTTTTTGTTCCTGGCCCCATGCAGTACTGAGTTAACACTCAGCAGGCAACCTGTTTTCAAGGTCTCTGTGCCATCCCCAGCTGCCTATATATTGTAAGAATTTCACAGCTCTTGCTGTCACAGATTTCCTTTCTGGAAATCAAAGCCCTTAAAGACACAGTTCCCCATACCAAAAAGCACAGATGAAAGACTTTTCTGAATCTGCAATAAATGTCACTTAGTGCACAACCAAGTTCTTATAACATGATGGGGTACACAGTATTCGTACTACCATGGCTTCAGTTACCACCGGTAAGCAAAGCTGTCTCGATGAACACCAGGCACACTATTAGCATTCTCAATTACAGAGCATCTTTAAACCTCAGATAAAAAGAATTAATGTATTTTATGCAGTGACAGACTAAAAGCAGTTGCTGGAGCACCAGGGAAATAATCTGTGAGCCTGCCCTAAAATAGGTTGCTTTGGCTGTGTGAGCCAGTACACTTAGTGTCCATAGGTCACACTCATTCACAGGATGCAAAAAGAATTTTCTGATACATGTAATGGGCATCTTTTTGCACTACAGCTTTTTTACCCCCTATGTGCACAACTGCATATATATATATATATATATTATATATATACACATAGATATGCATACACACACATGCATAAATGCAAATACAGTCTGTAATAGAAGCACTGAATACTAACGACAGGAAGCACCTTAACGGCACATTCTCCTTTGCCACGGGGCTTTTTCTCTCTCTGTTCGAAGACTTTAAGACACCTGTTGTTTGTGTTACTCTCCTTTCTCCTTCACCGATTTCAAATCACAGAAGGGCTCAAGGAGACTGAAAATAAAACCAGAAGGCAGGGCGGCATGCTAGAGGGAATGCCTGTTAAAACCTAGCACAAGCATTTGCATGCGAGTCATGTTCCTCAGCTGTTGAAACAGCAGATGCTAATCAGGAAATGCCTACACAGCTCTCCTCATTACCTACTTCACTGAAAATGCTACCCCCTGTGTTCCCCATGAAGTTTTACTTCCTTGTAAAGCTCAATTATCATAAACACTACTCCTTAGCCAATACTCACATTTTTTTTTTGCTATAAACAAAAGCTGTTTGTCATTCTATATTCCTCCATACTAGAGACGGTTGGCTGCCTCTAAACACTATTTGTGTGTTTTCCCTAACAATATCCATTACCCTACTTTAACTAGATTCCTTCAAATCATATCCCTTCTCTGAATCAAACGTGGCTCTTTCCTCTCTCACTTCTTTGGCATGTACCCTGTGTTTATGACAGTGCACGGCACATGAAATAGTAGGTATGTACCAGGTGAAAAAAGATGGATTATTTCTACGCTATTACTTGGCTATTTCTGGACAAACTGGCATCATTACTATTATGTAATTATGAAAAGCATAGTAATTGTCTGATTTTTTTCCCCCCCTCAAGGAACAGTCAAACCTGAATACTGTACTCTGCCTAAAAATATTGCAGCTATCCAGCTCCAGACATCTGGGTAGCGGAACAGCTTTGGACAGGGTTTGCTTTCATCCTTTGCTTTCATATTAGGATGCAATTCTGCTGGGTTAAACAATGAGTCAAAAAGTCCCTTAAATAGATGTTACTTTAAAGTAGAATAATAATTCTACTGATGTGGGGAGTATTCATGAATGGAAATTAGGTACCTGACAATTACAATACTAAACTGCAGCCATCAGCTCCTCTGAGGAAAGAGTTAGTCAAAAGGAGACTTTTGAAAGGTCCATTTTCCCTGGGGCTCAGGTGGAAATCGAATATTTCTAAGTTAAGCTTGATGCCTAAAGTCTTGCCTCAGACACCATCTCAGCTGGCTGAAAAGCTATAAACGTCTACATTTTCTTCAGTAAAGTAGCCATAACACATATGATATTGTTTGTGCAAACATCTAAGATATTATTTGTGCATGCTTTCATGTACCTAGACAAGTCTAGATCTGTATCTCTAATACTCAAACCAGTAAGAATTCTCAGAAAATTACCAATATGCTAAACAGCACCAACTTAAAAAAATCATCCACAGGTGACTTTACTGAAATCCATTGCTGGAGGGAAAGACAGTATAATGGCATCTTTTTAAGGGAAACTCAATGGTGAGGGCACTCCCCTAGGCTATCTGCCTATCTGTACCCAACCTGAAGGAATCCAATCTGCCTCTGGCTGACAAGAATAATTTAGATCTTCCCTACAAGAATGACTTTTTGGGGTTTGATCCCAGGACATTTTGTATTAGGAAGTGACATGACTTGCAAACAACTTGTGCTCAGGATTTCTCTTCCAAGGTCAATGCCCAGGTTTAACCTGCAGTTTTATATAAAGAAGTGGTTTTAACCTGTCAAAGCAACATTTGAAAAATAAAATATATACCATCTACCAATTTCTAAAATCTTAGGAATAGGTTTTGGCTGTGAACTGCAATCTGATACAGTGTCCTGGGGAAAGGAAGGATGTATGAAACTGCATCTTGCTGAGGAAAGATATTTTTGCCAAATTCTCATCAAGCTTTTGCTTGATGTGAGTCCTGTGTAGAGATATTTTAATTCTTCTGGTTGCAGTAGCATTAATACATATTACAACACAGAGATCATGGATTCAAACTTGTGGAATCAAAAGTTCTGTTACTGTGGAGTTCTTAGTTTTGGGGCCCCCAGCTGTGTCACCAAATCTCAGCATTCTATTACTCCCTAATGATGGGGGCTTTGCTCGTGGAATCATATGGTAGTGTCAGAATCTACTTTCATTTAAGAAAAAAACAAAAAAGAAATAAAATTAAGAAAAACCATATTATCCATTTCTCGCATCTGGGAGTGCCTGAACAATAGAGCTCAGGCTACTTGTGGTGTCAACATGGAGATATAAGGAATGTTGGAAAGTAATTCAATTGAGATGAATTCTTTACCAAGTAATGTCTTTCTGTCAATCAAAGGCTGAAGTCTGACATGACAAAGCTAGGCCTTAATGCCAATCAATAATATGGCAGGCATACTAGCAAATGGCTAAATCAAAGTACAGGGGGCAGCACTGTATTTCTCAGTGCAGGAGGGGAGAATGCTGCAGTTATCGAGGTGTGAAATGATGAGATCCCAGAAAACAGCTGCAGTGCAGTAGAATGGCAAAGGGCCTTGTCATATAGACACATCTGTGCAGCAAAATCTGTAAGATCTTAAGGCTTCTCCTGCACATGGGACCTGGAATACATCTAAATTGATATTTCTCTGACTTGCTGTAAACTCAATTAGGTGAGTTAGACTACCATCTTACAGTATACCTATTTGACAAATGCTGCTGTAAGAAAAAAAAAAATTAGGTTTCCCATCCACAGTTCCACATTTTTCCAACACTTATGTTGGTCAGAAGTCTGCAGTTCAAAATGATTTTGTGCATTAGTTCCTCTTCAAACAGCAGAAAACACAGCAACACATGGTTATGTACCTTATGGAATAAGGAGAAATTTATATTCATTTTCTTTACGTTCAGAAGACATTTAGTGGATCTGGGCCTAAAAGCCCTCTAAAAAACCCATAATTTTTAACACAAAAACAAGAACAAGCAAAGCTAGCAGAATTTTCTATGTGCAAACTGGCCACACAAGATACCGAGAAACACAAGACTTTAGCTACCACTACAGACTTTGTGGTCACTTTACTAACAGAAGATCAAAATATACAGCAGTACTAGCTGAATTTGGCAATCCTACAGATGCGCCATGAAAGCAGCAAATACTCAGAACCACTTTCACATACTTTACGCCATCTTCTGATGGAAAATTTCCTTAATAGATTACAACAGTCAGAGAACACCATTATTGGCTCTTCCAAGCTGATGTTATTTTTGTTCTCTGGAAAATTACTAAACGTGGACTTAAAAAGAAAACTAAAAAAACAGGACTTGATATCATGCAGGTAGAAA